GACCAATGCTAGGGACAACCCGTCTACTTCTCCCACTACTACTGTTACTGAAGACAGCCCAGTAAGACTCCATACTTATGGCCTGCGACCCAGGACAACAGTACATTTCTGTGACATTGACGTACCTACTGACTTGTCTGACTCCTATGCTAGTTATGCTAATTGTTTGCTTGCAAAAATGGGTATAAATGCACACACATTGTATAGTGAGTTGATAATGGAGTCAGGGTGGACAACATTATATAAATATGCAAATAATTTTAGAAGGGTACCCAGAGTATAATGAATTACATGGACATAGTATTATTGTAGGTATGTGCACCCAGTGTCGCTTTTAAAGCCTGTTTTACGCTGTATTACGGTTAGGGCAGTGCTGCCCTCCGAGTCATATGTCACACCTTAAGAAATGCTACTGTCAGTCATTGTTTGCAGATGTGAGGGTGCAACAGCGTTCGTAGACGAGTAGTCAAGCCTGATGTTCAGCCCTGTGGACAACCTGTATATAGAAGATTTTAGTTCCAGTGCTGACGTCTCCGGGCTCTCTCCTCAATGAAGCGGGCAAGCCAGTTTTCTCTTCCTCAGGATGGGAGAGTTTTTTTTGCCTGTTGCATTTTATGTCCATTTTTGATTTCCAAGTGAGCGAAAGCCAGTCCCTCCCTGGGGTAACTAGTGTAAGTAATTCTTTTGCACCTACGGGCCCACCAGTATTGTAGCGTCGGGACGATGCGAGGTGCGTGGCCAAGCAAATGTAGACAGCCTGTACTGTCAGCACAGACAGCCTATGCTGTCTTCCAGCTTAGTTCATATTTCGCAGCACTTAAGTGCTGCCCTCTGTAGGCCTACCCAGGTCAGTGGGTCGCTGGGCCCACTCGCCCTCACTTCACAGCCGACTGACTCGAGAGGTACAAGTGCTCCCCTCCACGGACTGGCTATCGGTCATTCCCTCACATTGCCCGTTGTGTACTCACTCCTATCCAATTAAAGCCAAAGTAGTCCACGGCCGTATCATTGCTACCTACGCTACCTCCATCGGCACTAAACCGTTGTTCAACAGCAAGAACAGCAATAAGAACAGTAAGTGTCCAGGGCCCAAGACTGTTCAACTGCCTCCCAGCATAAATAAAGGGGATTACCAATAGACCCCTGGCTGTCTTCAAGAAGGCACTTGACAGTCACCTAAAGTCAATATCTGACCAACCGGGCTGTGGTTCGTACGTCAGTTTGCGTGCGGCCAGCAGTAGCAACCTGGTTGATCTGGCCTGATCCACCACGAGGCCTGGTCTCAGACCGAGCCACGGGGGCGTTGACCCCCGAAACCCTCTCCAGTTAAATTCCAGGTAAACCCATAGGAAAAATTGGTCTACAGACAAAAAGAGAATGAGGGAAAGAAGTGAGGCAAAAGCTTCCTTTTCACTTACTATATAAATATCCGTGTGCAAGAAATAAAACAGATTAAGACTAAATGCATGTGTAAGAAACATTGATAATATTGCAATAACTGAAACTTAGTTTACTTTGAAGTATAAAGACGAGCCAACTGATTATAAATTGTTCCACATCAATAGATTCAACCGGATAATGGACGGAGTTGATATGTATGTTAGCGAAATTTTAAACTTTTGCATCAGAAATTACGTATAGGTGGAAGGGACAGACTCAGAATCTGTTTGGCTGCAGTGTCTCGAAGGGCATGAAAAGCTAATCGTAGGTAGGCTCTAAAATCCTGCAAACTTAGAGAGTGACCTGGGAAAATTTCTTAGGAAGAAACTGCTAAGGCATCTAAGACGAGAAAGTAGTTTTAATGGGAGAGAGAGAGTTTAACTTTAGTAAAACTGATTGGAACAATTTGATAGAAACTAGAAATTGGTGACTTCTTTGAAATTGCTCTGAAATGCTGTTTAAAACAGTCCGTCAGAACCAGCTAGAGGATATAACATGCTAAACTTTGTTCTGGCAAACAAGAATGTTCTTATAGACAATCATGAGATGAACGAAGAGCTTGGAGAAAATGATCACAAATCACTTATTGTTCAAGAGTTCTAAAAGAATGTAAAGGGGCATTTAACAATCTTAATTAGCTAGTCTCTTCAAGATATCACTACAAAAGTGAATCGTAGCGGATAAGTGGAAAATGGCAAATGTGATATTCATTTACCAAGTGGAAGATAGGTTCTTAGTTTAAAATTATAGACCAGTCAGCCTAACCATGTTTGTGAGAGAGTTGATGGAATTAATAATTGCTGATGTGATTCAAAGCCACCGTGGCAGATATAATTTGATCAGCGAGTCTCAGACCGGGTTTACAATGGGGCGTTCTTGTCATACTAATTTAATTACTTTTTTCATTAATGTATATGAGGTAGTAGACCAAAATCATGAATACGATATTGCATATACGGAATTCAATAAAACCTCTGATAAAACACCACACGGGAGACTGATTTAAAAATTAGCGGCACATTGTATAGGAGAAAATATCTCTTGGGTCGAGGCATGGCTGACCGATGGGCAACAGGAATTTCATTAACAGGGAAAAGCTAGAATGGTGGACCTATTAAGAGTGGTGTGCCACAGAGGTCAGTGTTAAGACCCTTATTATTCACAATTTGCTTAAACAGCATAGATGAGAGAATAGTGACCTAAGTAACTCTGACGATGACACTAAAATAGGACGTCATTTTTTTGAAGAGAACAGAAAATAACAGGATGACTTGGATAGGTTGATGAAGCTGTAACAGAAGTGGCAGATGCAGTTTTATGCAGACAATTATAAAGTTCGAATCCTAGGAAAAAAAAGAAACTAAGACACTTGGAAACTAAATAATGTACATCTAAGTCGAAGTGATTGCGAAAAAAATGATTTAAGGTTTTAGTTAGAAATATAAAGGGAAGTCAGTGGTATATAAGTGTCCATGAAAACGGCTTCATTTGAAGAAGAATAAATAATAGAATTCCTCGGCTTTATATATTGTGATTTAGACCTTATTTAATATATGCTGTGTAAAATTATTGACTGTGTGACTGTTGACGGTACAGTGACTGTGGGAGTGCTGACAGTACATTGACTGTCACTGCTGATATTACATTGACTATGGCTGCTGACAGTACATTGACTATGGCTGCTGACGGTACATTGTGACTGCTGACAGTATATTAACTGTGACTTCTGGTGGTATATTCACTGCGTGACTGCTGACAGTACATTAACTGTGGGACTGCTGACAGCACATTGTGTGAGCGCTTACGGTACACTGATTGTGTGGCTGCTGACAGTACACTCATTGTGTAACAGCTGACAGTACACTGACTGTGAATGCTGACAGTACACTGATTGTGCGACTCCTGAGAGTACACTGTGACTGCTGACAGAGTACACTGTGACTGCTGACAGAGTACACTGTGACTGCTGACAGTATGCTGACTATGGCTGCTGACAGTACACTGTGTGACTGCTGACAATACACTGTGTGACTGCTGACAGTACGCTGACTATGGCTGCTGACAGTACGCTGACTGTGTGGATGCTGACAGTAACTTGAAACATTTCTCGCAATTTCTTGTGGATTTTCCTGTTCAGATACACCCTTCAACTCTCCATTTCCTCGGATCAAACACGTTTACCTCCCAATCCTAAGGCGCTGTAAGACTGAGAAGTCCAGTTTCAACTTAAACTTGTACTCTATATTATATTGCAGTAATAATACTACTACTATTAAGAGTAATAATAATAATAATAATAATAATAATAAATAATAATAAATAATAATAATAATAATAATAATGCAGAGTATGAAGCTTAAATTTGTCTTGAGGAACTTTAAGCAAACACATGCAGTCTGAAAGCTAAGCAAGCACTTATAAGATACAGCCTGAAGCGACACTATCTTGCTGGAAGCAGAGAAAGCCACTCCCCACACATCAAGAACCACGATGTAATATTTCGTAGAAATTTATGAACTTTAGTTGAAATATATAAGCTGTTTATATATATATATATATATATATATATATATATATATATATATATATATTATATATATATATATATAATATATATATATATGTGTGTGTGTGTGTGTGTGTGTGTGTGTGTGTGTGTGTGTGTGTGTGTGTGTGTACTACTTTTGTGGTTGCGAGGGTTCGAGTACATATGTACTAACTGCCCCGCATCACCGTTGTAAAAGGCCTCTATACTCCCGCATACATGAGCTTTATCAAACTGCTCGCACTGAGACACATGGTATGGTACCTGCCTGTGCGAGATATGGTTTTTGAGGCTATTCCACGCCTACAACTCTATGCTGAAGTAATACTATCCACTAACACTCTGACTCATTTGTGATCTGCAACTTAGCATTGTGGCTTGTTGCTGTGGCTCCTGTAACATCCTGCTGTGTGGACTGGTCTAAGTCTCGCAGTATTTATATGTCGTTATCATGTCTCCTGGAAACGTTTCGTCATCCAGGTCGTAAAGGACGGCGATTTCCTTAACTACTTTATATAGAGAAATTTACCTTACTTCTGGTAATAACCTGTGCAAACCTTTAGTACTTTACTAATAAGTTCTTTTGACATGTATTAATCAAGTAGCATATCCAAACAGGTGAGCAAACTCATATGGCCTGACAAACAGGTGTAGCATTGTAATGAATTCTGTTCTCGAGTTTTGCAGAGCGAAATTAGCATGGCAGCAGTTATGCGGATAATGTGGAACTTCCTTCTGGAAACTATGCTCGCTTAATCGTGTGTGATGTTGTCTGTCTCTGTGCTGTATCTGTGAAGTTGTAGTGATTGTGTTTTGATTGTTTTTTTGTCATGTGGTGTGTGGTGTGTGTTGTGTGTGTGTGTGTGTGTGGTGTGTGGCAACTTGGATTATTCAACACAGTAATGGTTTTTTTTTTTTTTAAGAAGCGTAGTTTAAGTACCACATGAAGAACAAAGCAAAACGTTGTAGACAGGTTGAATACTGCGAAAATGATGAAGCTACAACTGCTACGCACTGGAGGACACATGGTAGGCGTAGCCGGCCGGGTGGTGGGAGGATGATGGGTTGGGTGCCACTTTGGTTGGCTTCACAGGCGGCAAAAGGGAGGTGCAAACCAGGCTCTTCCAGTCCAGCTCCTCCATCCTCATGAACTGTAGCACAACAACACCATCAGCCAGGGGTTGAGGCCAGTGGGAGGGGTCAGCCAAGGGTGTTAGGGGACTGGTAGTGGTGGAGGGCAGTGGAGTGAGCACAGTACATCAGCAGGAGGGCAGGCAATGGATGGAGTAGGGCACTAAGAGGGACTGGCAGCAGAAGGGAAGAGTGAGTGGAAGACGAGATTGGAAAAGTTTAACAGTTCAATATTAGGACAATGAAGGGAGTTAAAAAGGGAACAGGGCAGTTAGTGTTGGGAACACAGTTGTAACACAAAGACTGAGAGACTAATAAGGTAAGCAGATAAATAATGATAACAGACTTTCTGTGTATTGAACACAGAGATGCAAACAAACTGGTATGAAGGAATGACCTTAGAACAAAAGAGTTCTTGGTATTAGCAATGTATTAGTAATACAATAGTAAAGACAATAATAGATAGTACAAACTCACAAAGAATGAAGAAAAATTAATCACATGAGAAACCGAGGCAGAGAGAAGGGTTGAGAGAAAATATGAATAAATAGCAGTTTGTTGTCAGCTAAATGCTAATAATATATAAATGAAAGGACATGGAAAGTGTAAGCATGGGTGTCCGCTGGGTAATGCGGATAATACAGCTGGGAAGAGCTGCCTCTTTCCGTGGATCAAACCTATGCAGTACAAACAGCCATACTAATCGCTTGCCTAGCCCTTGTCCTTCCTCCCATGGCAACCCTTCAACTCCTGGAAAAGTCCCAGCAGACGCCCATGCGAGTAGCAATTTTTTATTTAAAAAATTAAACACAAACACAATGTAGAGGTGAAAATGGTAGCCAATTGCACCACCAAGACTCTGGTATAGAAAGAATATTATTAGTAAAGTTATTTAGCACAGGGCAGAAGATGATGGCCAAACTAAGGTCACAAAAACGTAGTATATAATTAGAACAATAAACAGGATGTGCTATTAATGGGCCATATAGATTTAGCTCCTCTTTTTTATGAATAGGATAATAATACTGATAATAATAAAAAATAATAAACAAATTGAAATATCTGGCGCTTTTAGGGGAGTTCATTACAGAAGTTTAGTTCACTCCACTGTATTCACAGACTTTTCAGTCACATTAAGGAGCCCTACAATAAATAAAGCTACAAGAGGAGGCACTGTACATTGCCAGGGTTCTTACGAGCATTATGCTAACATATTTTAATATAACTGAACTTGAGTGTGCTCCCATATTCCTTCCTTTTCAAGGGACGCTCCTTGGCACGGTGAAGAGGCTCTTGGTCTAAGGAATAAGACCTTTTGGTCTCCTTCCTCAGACTGAACCTAATTACCCCCGAATCCTCCCTTCCCTATCCCATCCTTCCCATCCTTCCTTTTTCCCTTTCCTCCTTCTCCTCCTCCTCCTTCCCATCCCTCCCTTATTCCTTTCTATTTTCAGCCTTCGGGATGCTTCCCACAGGCACTCTAGGTCCTAGGTAGGGTGAAGGGTCCATCCCATTCCATTGGGGTCCTTGGCTGTGGTGTAGTTTGCCGTGGAATCTGGATCACCAGGAGGTGTCCCGGTTCCTCTCTGGTCTCCCGGAGGGGTGGCTTTGGGTGTCTTTTGGGTGATGAGTGCATCTCTGGATGCTGCCTGTCGGATTCCGGGGGTGGTGGCCGAAGGAGGTATGCTCTGTGGTGGATGTCCGGCTGCCTTCTCTTTTGTCCACTGAGGTGGCTCGGTGGATGTGAGGTTGCTATCCCGGATTGCTGGTTTACTGGTATGAAGGGTAGGGTGTGGCACGGGTTCCTTGCTGCATCTGCACTACTTGCGGTGCTAGGGTCCTTTTGTGTCTGGAGTGGGATTTACGGCCCTTTTTTGCCTCCTAGGAGCTATTCCTCCACGTTCCTCCCCCTTTTTTTTCTTTTTTTTCATCTTTTTTTATCTACAAAACAAAAGAAAGAAGTGACATAACTATTGAGTCCCAAATAAATGAACCTGCTCCCCCCATGCTCCTTACTGATATACTGCACCCTGTTCCGATCTTGCCTCGTTATTTGACCACTCTTTGGACATTTCTAATGCCACTGTACCTCCTGCTGATGCTGTTTCATCACCAGCTTCAGGTACTGGGTTCCGACTGACTCCCTTGATACGTCTGACCTCCGCTCTTCTTTGACTATGCTTCCGGGTTCTCCCTCTATGGTGCGGCAATTTTCGAATCGCCCGCCCTTCCCACATTGGACCAACTCTGGTCCTACACCTAAACGCCCAAGACCATTACCTGATACTTCTTCACTTCCTTCTCATTCTACTTAGAAAAGACCGGCTCGTCACACACTCCCTTTACACCCTATGTTTTAAAATACACAATGGACTAAGGTTTTACTCTACGACCAACTTCCTCTACTGCCTATCTTTCCGACCATAGTATTGGCAAGACGCTCCTATGCCATGTTGGTAGAGATATATCCTTTAATGCTCTCAAGAGTGGTACACACATCATCACTGTCCAGAATGCTAACGAAGCTCACGATCTTTTTCTCCTTACAACTATCGATACTATTCCTGTAACTATGGAAAAACATCATTCCCTCAGTTCTTGTGGTGGTACTGTCATTCTGCCCCATACCATTGTCCAATAGAATTTCCAGACATGTGGTGATGACATCCTGGAACAGATTGAACTCCAAGACCTCCCAATCGTCAAAGTAGACAGTTACGTCCTCCCTGCCCGTAGGCGGAGACGATTCCCTTGCAATGTATCTCGTTTAACTTTTGACTGCTGCGAGCTTCCATCCTCTGTATATATTGCAGGACACCGTTTACATATTCAATAGGTGAATCCTACACTGCATTTTGGTCATCCAGCAAAATATTGCAAGCCCATGGCCGAATGCCCAGTCTGTGGTGCCGACGACCATACCAATATGTCATATAGTCTACCTCTCTCATGCCTTAATTGTCATTAGGCTCATCCATCTTACTCTTGGCATTGCCAAGTTTACTTAAATAAACGTGAAATACGTTGTCTCAAAGAGGCAGGATACCTCCCACATGCTATGGCAGTCTCTCATCTAAGCCTCCAAGGGAGACTTCCCCATATTTCTTATTCTCGAGTTGCTAAACATCCTCCCTCCTCTGGGGTCCCAACTCCTGCAGCCTCCTATGTGGTCACCCCTTCCAGTCACCCCTGTCTCTAATTCATTTGCTGTCCTGGACTCAGAGGTCCTTACCTCGACACCTCATTCTGTTCTCACCTCTTCCTCTTCTCATTCATAAGTTTCTGTCTACAAGACCTCGTACAACACCTACTCCCCATCGCTCCTCTCCGAATTCCACAACATCCCCATTGTTAAAATCTCCTTTAACACCTCCTTCCCTTCTGCAACCTGCACATTTTTCCTTCCCAGTCTCTGTACTCGGTTCTTCACCTCTAACTGGCTCTGTTACGAGTGTGGAAGTTCATCCTTCTCCTTGTACAGTACCTTCTTCCTCTCCTGTCCCTTCCGAAGCTTCTTCCCCGGTTTCCTCTTCCCTTTTGTCCTCCCCCCTTCCTACTTTGGTACAGTCCATTGTCACCCTGATCTTTACTCACCCTCCTTCTTCCATCTCCAATATTGTGCCACATACAACGTCCTTGTCCTCTGAAACACTTGAAGCTATCTCAGAATATACTGAGGAGACTAGACCATTGATGGACTCTGATCCACCTCCTGCTGTTCCTCCTCTTCACTCTTCTCTGTCTACACAACTTCTTTCTTCACAGTGTCCTAATTCTTTGCTGCTTAAAAGTTATCTGCAACCTCCACATGTGGAGTTTTCTAAACCTACTAATCCGTAGATACCTCTACCTTCAGATTTCTTGTATCTTTCTCTTCACAAATTATGGCTTATTTACAATGGAATATCCACAGCCTCAGAAGTAACCGGGGTGAGCTTCAGGTGTTACTCTCCCAGTTTTTCCCTGTTTGTGTTGTTTACAAGAACCTTAATTACGCTCCGCTGTTATCCATCCCAGCTCGGGGCTATGATTTATTATATTCATCGTATCCTTTTCCCGATTGAACCTTTAATGACAGTGCACTTCTTATATGCATCAGTATTCCATACCGTCAACTCTTTGTTCATATTTCACTGCATTGCACTGCAGCCCGTATCCACTTGAATGAGTGGTATACAATTTGTTTTTTGTATCTCTCTCCTTCTCGGGCATTATCTATTCCAGATGTTGCATTTCTGGTTTCTTCCTTACCTCCACCACTTCTGTTATTTGGCGATTTTAATGCTCACCATTTCCTCTGGGGATGGGGGGTCTCACTGTGACTCCCATGGTACTCAGTTAAAGGCTTTTCTTCCTTCTCTCGCTCTCCATATTTTAAATACAGGTACTCCCATCCATTTTGATCCTCATACTCATTCTCTCTCTCTTGCATCGATCTCTCGGTCTGCTTTTCCTCAACTGTACTAGACTTCACATGGTCTGTCCTCCCAGACTTACATGACAGCGATCATTTTCCAATCATCCTTACTTCTCCTTCGCTATTCGCCACCTCGTAGCCCATGCTGGCACTTTTACGGAGCAAATTGACACTTTACTTTGCATCTAACTGCTTTTAGTGAGGTTCCTTCTTCGTCCTCCATTGATGAGCTTTTACAACTCTTCTTGACCTCAGTTTTAACCGTAGCTTCACATTCTATACCTGGAAAGAGAGTTCCGGGGGTCAACGCCCCCGCGGCCCGGTCTGTGACCAGGCCTCATGGTGGATCAGGGCCTGGTGAACCAGGCTGTTACTGCTGGCCACATGTAATCCAACGTACGAACCGGCTGGTCAGGTACTGACTTTAGGTGCCTGCCCCATGCCTTCTTGAAGACAGCCAGGGGTCTATTGGTAATCTCCCTGATGTATGCTGGGAGGCAGTTGAACAGTTTTGGGCGCCTGACAATGATTGTGTTGTCTTTTACCAAGCTAGTGCAACCCCCGTTTTTCACGGGGGGGGGATGTTGCACGTCTGCCGAGCCT